CTGGTTCTCCGAGGAAGTTCACCCGCTTGTGCCTGGGGAGTGGATGTGCTGTTTGGGTTCTACAATGACTTTTGAACTGAAGGTCTTTTCTGCTCTACCTGACCCTTTCAGAGATTCTCAGGACTTCAAAATCTTGATTCTGAGGCTTGGATTGGCACCTTTTGGTTGATCTACCAACCACAGGGCCAGATTTCGACTTCTTGGCTGTTAAGTCCATTACCAACCATCTGTCCATTTCCCATATTCCAAAATTTGGCTGGGATCTGGCCTCCTGCTGGCTCCTTTCCTGGTCCATTGCCTTGTAGGATTTATTTATGATATTTACTTTTTTCTTATCGTTTGGTCAGGCTGTGAGAAGGAACAGAAATAAGTGTTTCTTATTCAGCCTGCCATGTTTAAGCCTGTCTTCCTATTTATCATTTCTTTCATTTGTGTAGTGTTTATTATGCTCCATATCATATTAAAAATATTCACCTGCAGTTTTTCCTCACCATTTCCAGTTTGGTTTTTCACCCAGTTTATTGCAGTGTGGGGGAAGAATATTGAATCCAAAATTATTGTTTCTGTATACTTGTAACCTTACTGTTCATAGATTAGCGATTTTTTTCATGCAATTTCAATACTTTCATTACTGTTTTTGCATGTATTCTTGGGTCTGCTTACAAGTTTTCTATTTTATTAGTTTTTTGTCTGTTTTTGTGCCAGCAGTACTTACTTTAACTGGAACTGCTCTGTGACAATCACATTATCTATTTTGAGATCTCTGTGTTTCAAATTTGCTATTATTTTGTTACATTTTACAAAATATGTCACCTGTAAATTTAATTGGTGAAGTTAATGTGTATATACTTTTATATCATTACAACTTTGAGGTTTACCATTTGTTGTTTCTGTTAGTTTGTTTGCTGGTTTCTGTTTTGTTTTGAGACAAGTTTTTGCGATGTAACCTTGGCTGCTCTGGAATTTGCTGTATAGAACAGGCTGGCTTTGAACTCACAAAGATTGCCTGCCTCTATGTCCCAAGGGCTGGAACTAAAGTGTCTGGCTTTATTTGGATGTTTTATGGCCTTAAATTGGGTTTGGGAACTTTTTATGCATCTAACTAATTTAGGATAGTTTCCCGTTTAAACACCTAGAGCTGGCTAGTTACAGGCGCTCTAGATTCTTGTGCCTGGAACTTTGCTAAGTTCTTTCTGTCAACTGCAATAAGTTTGAAGAGCTTGTGATAGCTAATCTTGGTTGTCAAAATTGAAATGCCTGGGATTGACTCCATCAGACTGACCCAAAGGTATGTCTGTTGACATTTTCTTGATTATTGATTGATGGAGGAGAGCCTAGCCCTCTGTGGGAGTTGTCATCCTTAGATAGGCAAGCCTGGGTCTTATAAGCATGGTAGCTGAGCAAGCAGGTAGACAGTGTTCCTTCATGGTCTTGGTTTCATTTCCTACCTCCAGGATCCTGTTCTGTCCTGCCCTGGCTTCCCTGTATGATGGCATATAAACTCTAGACTAAATAAACCCTCTCCTTCCTTCCCCAGTTGGTTTTGCTCAATGTTTTATCAAGGCAACATAATGCAAACTAGAACAATTCTCTTACATGTTCTACACAAATAATGCCTTCATGACAAATAGAGACATTTCTCTTTTTTTCCCTTCCCCATTGACTGATTCTTTTCTTTCGTAAAAGAGACAGTAGTAGTTTTTGTCCTTAGTAATTATAAAAGAGTCACGTCCTCATGGAACATGGTATATTCTATAGATTACTGCTAAATGTCTCTGCACATGTTTATAAAGATCTTCATCTTTGTTTTCTAAGAATTTTTTTTACAAATATTTACCAGATACTATCTTTTATCTTATGAGATGATTTTTCCTTTTTAAACATTTGAACTGCTAATGTTTTATATTATATCAACAGATTTACAGATTTTGGGCCATCTCTGTACTCATTCTTTTTTATATTCTTAAATGAAATTTGGTAATTTTTAAACTGTAATTTCACAAGTGTAGCTAGTCTAAACTCTTTTTTTGTGAGTATGTATGTGTATATTTGTGTACTTTGTGATCTAATTTCTATAACAAGATTCCAATTTTATGGATTTATAACCTTGCAAGTGTGGAAAAATTTCCTTTGACTAAAGAAATGTGGGAAGGAGTATTTAGCCTTAAAGAAAATAAATCCTCTTGTCTATTCAATAAAGTAGATTTTTTAAAAGTTGGAGTGATGTCTATTTTTTATGAAATAAAGGAAGTGAATACCTGTTTTGAATTTTTTTTAAAAAAATGGCCTGCTTTTACTTTTCAAAGTCAAGCCATAAACAAAATATAGTTGCAGCTACTGATCAATATGACAGCAAGCTCTAGGAACCAAAAAAGAAAAAATATACAAGGTATCATGGGAATGTTTCTAGAGGTCAATTTACATTTCTGATGGTTGACTAAGTCTTGTGATAGATAGATAAGCTTTTCTTTTCCTAGGATAATCCCATTGGGAAATGTATTCCACAGGAATTTCCTGTGTAAATCCTATATATAATGTATTATAAATGTATATGTAAATAAATAAATACTAAACGCACACACATAGAGAAGAGGGAGCATTTTTAGTGCTGTTTATGAACAACCTGTGAGAAAAGTAAATAGCATGAGAGTGAAATTTCCATGGCAGAGACTGGACAATATGCAAGTATGTTTACCCCCCCTTTTCTTTTTAACATTTTTTTTAAAGACAAAGAAAGATTGTTTTCTCTATTGTGGTATGTTTACGTGTCCTGTGTTGAATTATTTTCCTACTCTGTAGTTCTTCTACGCAGTTCTTCTTCAGGTACATAAAGCAGACATTATGGCTCTCCATGTGCTATACTCCATATATGAAATATCTAGAATTTATCTAGGGAAACATACTCTTTCCCCGAAAGGCATAACCCAAAATATTCAGCTATTTATCTTCCACTAACCATGCAAAATGCTCATCTCTTCCATGTTTCCTGTTGATAATGTTTCCTCCTTTTGTAGCACAACTTCTCTTTCCTCTGGAAAGGAGGTACTTAAAAAAATAAAAAAACTCAAAGACTACAAAATTTTTCTCTGGTGCTGATCACCCGAGGGGCATTTCTGGTGGCAAGTATGTTGCTCAGGCTGTTGTCTGTTCCAGCTATGGAAAAATAGCACTTTCACGCAGCCCTTTATAATCCGATCTTGAGATCATGTACTCAGAAAAATCTCTGGGCAGAGGCTGTTTCGATATGATTGAGATGTTTGAAGAACTTGATGTCTGCCTGCTATTGTCTTCAAGTTCGGCCTTTTTCCAGACTAGGACGTATTATTCTGTCTTTCAACCTGTTCAGCCAGATATAGGATTTCCCCAGTTGCCAAACTGGCTATGATCAAAAAAGTTTATTTCCAAATCATTTATCTAGGATCAGAAATAGTTTCCCCAAAAGAACAGTTTTGTAAATGGCTGTGTTCACTGATGAACTTGAGCAGTGAACTTGAACTGCAACACTGACAGTGTGAGTCTCACCAACCAGTTATTTTGTGTCTCTGGGAAAGTATGTTTTGAGTTCTGACTCAGGAGGCTTGAAGCCCACGTCTCCCCGGACCTAGTAGTCTTTGCTGAAACTTTTTTGGGCTGTATAGCAGAGGAAAGCAAGAAGAGCAGAAGCTCCTTCCTAAGGAGCATAGGGCATGTAGATGCTGCTGGGTGACTGGTTAATAACTGAAGGCTGGAAAAGAATTGACCAGCTGCTTCCCAAGCATTCTCGCTGAAGTACGAAGGGCAGGGACTGTTTTCTGAGTAGAGATAGCTTCTCTGTCAGATCTTCATGAATAGAGAAAGGCTTTCTCAGTAAGACTGTATGTGTTGATTAAGCTTCTGGACTTGTAATTAGCCAGGAAAAATATTTAAAACTTCTTGGTCAGTGATGAAACAGTATCTAAACACATATCAATAGTGAAACATGGATTTTGTGCTTAGCCTCAGGCAGGACAAACAGTAAGTATTCCTTTCTTTCTTTCTTTCTTTTTTTTTTTTTTTAAAGTAAGTACTGACTGAGTGAATTCCAAAAAGTACAAGACCACAATTGGATGCATGTGTGGGGCAGTGACCTGCATTGCAAGTCGGAATTCTTGACTCTCCCCTAGCACAAGCTTTCTAGAATTTGCTCGGGCATCTGTGTCACCTGTGAGGACATACATGCTTGTCTCCTCCTGCTCCAAAGCAGGTGTTGGCTCTCTCCATGTCCTCTGCACATTCATTTCTAGTACAGTCTCCCCATTGCCAAGGCAGGAAAAAAAAAAAAAGGAAGATGGGTATTGGTGGGGAAAACCAATAAGGCTCTCCAAACCTTAGGACCCCATCTGACTGAGCTCCTGGCCCTGCCTTTATTCTGGCCAATATTTTTTACTAAAAAGACTGAGATATTTTACTTATATTTTTGTCAGTTGTTTTTATCACACACACGCGCGCGCGCGCACACACACACACACACACACACACACACACATTCTAGGCTGGAACTTAAGTCTGGAGAGCAGACCCGAGTCTTACCCATTTCAGGTTTTTAACTTGTATGATGATTTAAATCCATTTTGTAATGCAGCTACCTTGAAAAGAAATACATTGTTAAGGCTTCCACAACTAAAACGTCCCACGCCCATCCTCACCCCCATAAGCACGTCTAACCACTTACCGTTTCATGGACTGTACTTTCTTTTTAAAGCTCTATTTGTGTTCTACAAGACAGCCTCTTTCTCCAAGATTAACGTTTCTTATGATTGTTCCTGACAATGGATCCACTTCCAGGAGGCCCTGCTTAGGATAACCAAAAAAGGGCATGGAGCGGGCCGGTTTTGGCAGCCTGCTCACAGTTTCGAGCTTTTTAGGACTTGGATTTTCTGAGGAGTGATATCCTGAGCATGCCTAGGGAATGACAGGCATCTGTACGGGCAGACGGCCTCACCTTGGCCGGGTGTCGTCATTGGCTGCCTATTAGAAAAACTACAGGACAATGCATACCACCGCCCGCTGACTGTAAACATAGGGGCTGTGTGTTCACTTAGCATGGACTTCTGGGAGGGGCCAAGAAAGGGCGGTCTGCAGTTTTATTGAATAGAGCAGTGTGCATTAGGCTGGCTGCCTGCCTGCCTGCTCTCTTGCTGTGTTGCTTAAAGGAATCCCGGCTCCCTTTCCGACGACAGCGAGCGAGACGTCCTCCTCTGTGGGAAGAAGCTGCAGCCGCAGAGGTAAGACATCGCGTCTTTCTTTTTCTGACCTCAGGGAAGTCTGGGCCACTGTGCAGGTTTTAGGCAATGTTCCTGGCTAAGGCTGCTGGAAATGCAAAATCTTTCGAGGCCGGCAACAGACCATGTAAATTCCTAAACCCAGCCTGGACCTCCCTGACCTGCCGATGTTCCCAGAAGGTCAATATGATGAAACTTCAGGCTTTGTTTCTAGAGACGGGACAAGAGGAAAGATCTCATAGAGACAGAATCATGGACCAAGGGTGGCTTTGCCTAGGATGTGCTTTTGTTTCCAAGAGGGATGTGGATTGTACGTGGTGTCAGCGAGTGCTCTGCTGGTCTGTCCCTTGAACAGTTCCTTTTCCATCTTCTTTTAGCAGACATTTAAATAGGTTTCAAGTTTCACTTAAAAAAACAACAGCAACAACTTTTTAGGTTGTTAAGACAAAAAGTGTTTTTTTTTTTTTGTTTTTTTTTTTTTTTTTTAAAGCTAATTTTAAGCTAAGTAACACGTTCCTGTTTCTCTGCTACTAGGATTTTAGAAGTGGGCTTTCAGAGATGTAAAGAAATAAAGTCAGAGTTCTACCACGAGCACTAACTGAGCTGGTGCCGCTCATCTGCTATTTGCTGAAACCAAAGATGCCTACAGTGTCTGTTTTCTATAAAACGGAACAGCAAGAGAATGCGTGCGTGAGTGGGTGTGTATGTAGAAATCATGGTTAACTTCCTACCCAAATATTTCTTGGGAAATCTTTCTTTCTGTTGGAAAGTATGCCCAGAGGGTCAGAAAAGATATGAGCGGGGAGAATGCTCTGGAAAGGAAGTAAAAGAGCTTTTATTTTCAGACAGATGTATTTGGGCATCTCAGACAGTAGTGCAAGCTGGTAGTTCCACATAATGCCTTTTAGAAAGCGCTGATTGTGAAGGGCGGGGGAGTTTCAGAGTTTCATGTGGCAATACATGGTCAAAAAAGTAGAGGAGAACAAAGTGCTTGGTATTCCCAGATCCCCTCCAGTAACGAGGCTGTGGAGATGGAGTTGTAAACGGAAGCAGTGCAGCCCCTTAGTGTTAGGCAAAACCAGACATGCCTGGCTAGAACTTACTGAAGACAAGGCGACCTGCAAAAGGAAGAGCAAGTCCTTTGAGCAAGCCTGATTATTTAAAAACTAATATTCACGGTAAGGACTAGCATCTCCAGATGACTGCTTCCATTTCATTTTTTCGCATAGACTCTGATGCTTTAGGGTTGGGACTCACTGGGCAATCCTGTGTGTAGAAGTGTGGGGATGGCTTCTTGAAGTGATGCAGGGGGGCAGCAGTCTGTGTGGGCTTCTCTCCCTGCGACAGCTCTGAGTGAGTGTAAGAGAGGCTCCAGGGGCACACTCTGACGGTTGTCCTTCCCCGGAAGACATCAAGTTCCAAACTTTGCACAGGGTTTTAATGTCAATCAAAATACGGAGAGCAATTTCTTTTTCAAGTGTTCTCTAAACCATAGAGGGAGTGCGGTCTGGAAGGAAACCTGCAGTCTTGGATTTGAGGATCAGCCCATTTTGAAGCCAACCTCCTGGAATGCCAGGAAGTTCATTTTCTCTATGGTCAGCTTCTCCCAACCCCCTCGGTGCTCCCCACCCCCAATCACTACACAAAACATTTTCTGAAATAGCACCATATGGTGAACTTCAGGTAGTTCTTGGTGCTACTTCCTTCCTGTGGAGAATGATCTGGGATTTACCTCCCCAAACAGGGAGGTAAATAGAACTCAGTGAAGCCATGGCCTGGAAACTTTTATTCTATTGATATCATGTAATGAAAAACATAAAGGCAAAGCTCTAGGTGAAAAAAAAGGCAGAAAAGAATAGATCTTAGAACGTGTAAGGAATGTACTTAACTAGTTTACAGGTTAAGTATGAGGTTGTTTTATTTTTGAAAGTCAATAGAAGCTGGGTATGGGGGGGGGAGTAAGATACAGCTTTGTCCATTCTGAGGCTGACACTTATATGCTAGAGGGTATCAAGTCAGATAAAAAAAAGTTGACTGTAAGCCGGGTGTGGTGGCACATGCTTGTAATCCCAGCACTCAGGAAGACAGAGGCAGGCAGATCTCTGAGAGTTTGACAACAGTCAAAGCTGCACAGAGAAACCCTGTCTTGACACCCACCCCCAAAGTCAATAGAATATATAGTTTAAAGCATTCAAATCAAAAGATTGCCTTAAACATGTGAGTTTTACATCAGAGAAAGAAGATACAGGTTCAGATTTCAGATTCCAGAGTCTAAGGGAGACATGTGAATGAATTTCCTGACAATGGGGCTATTCCCGATTCTCATAGGCTCTTCACTGGCCCACGCCTGTCCTGTTCTCTGCAGGTGGACTAGATTGGTTTAAAGGTTGCCATAGAAGATTCCAGAATTTAGTGTGGCTATTTTCTGTGGCCTTTTCTTGAAGACACACACAGTTGTGTCTACTGGTTAGCCATTCTCCAGTGAGACAAGAAGTGACTTAGAGATGGACATGAGAAGGGTTTTGACAGTTCTCCATCTGCCTGGTGTCACATGGTTTGGAAATGTGGTGGGTGAGGCCATGGTTGAGAGGTAGGGGGTGGGTATTAGGGAAATGCTGACAGAGCGGAATGCAAATAGCATGGTAGGACTGGGAAGGAGGTTAGGGAGATGCTGCCAAAAGGATTTTCAAATTTTAAGGAGGCGTTTTTCTGGGTAAATCTCTCACAGCCCAAAAATAGCACCATTAGTGTCTTAACAGAAAGTCCCTCTTCTCTTGTCTCTCAAGCTGATCTAGATGCTCAGAGGAGTTGTTCATTTAAAGAGACATTCTTAGTTTAGGCTTAACTCATTACCTCCAAGAGTAGAGCTTGATTCTGGTTTTGGTTCTTTTGCTTAAATAACTCTGACCTTTAAGAAAGTTATCAACTCTTTAGCATGGCTGTCAGCATGCCTCTCTTCCATCCCATAGTGGTTAAGATGTGCAAACAAGATGAGCGGTTTTGTCTCCTTTTCCAGTAGGCTCATACAGCCTAAACTGCTTTCAATTTTAATCTGGCTTTTGAGCTAACTCTGGGTGGCAACCATTGTTTCTTATCTAGTTTCCCTGGAGTTCTCTCCTCCTTTCTTGTATTTGAGAAACCTTGCATAATGCTTTCTAGAACCCTAATCCTAGAACCTTAAGAAGCTGTTCTATCCCAAGGTTATCTGAAATTTGGCTTTGAGAATCAAAGACCAGGAGTAGACATATAACAGAAGGCAGAACAAGGCTATCTATGGTGTAGAGTGATGTCCAGGAAGCAGGAAATGTGAGAAGCCAGGTGAACAGACCAATGACAAAGTGCTGACAACAGATAGGCCTTAGTAAATGAGGTGGCTTCTCTGCCTCCAGCCAAAAGGATGGAATTAATCCCGGCTCGTCATGCCTGGGCCTTGTAGGCAGGATGAGGTAACCGGCAGCACCTGGCTGGGGTTTCGGCCCTTATTGAGACCAGATTTCTCTAGAAGCTATGTCTCTCACCTATGCTGGCTTCATTGTTTAGTATTCCCAATTTTAACTTAAGCCCCTATGCTACCCCTCAGCCCCCTTACTCTTTAGATGTTCAACTGACCGGCTTCCCCATCTCCTAGCCAGACATGGAGCTTTCCTGTGTTTACAGAGTTGGAAGTCAACAGGAGCTTAGCCCTAGGATGAGAACCAGATGACAGCAAGTGTCAAGCGCAGATAGTCCTGGATAGGGCACCGCCAGCTGTCTTCAAGCTGAGAGAGAAGATTTTTAGATAACTTCAGATCTCATCTCTTATTGGCTAATCTAGTCTACTTAGGAATTCACAAACCTGCTGCCTCAGCTTGCCAATGAGTGCTGGGGTTACAGATGTGGTCCTCTCCATAACCGGCTCAGGAGTGCCTTTCTTTTTTTCTCAGATGTGGTGGGGAAAATGGCTGTGAACATGCCGACATGTAGGAGAAGTGTGCCTTATGCATCCTCCATTCCAGAGAAAAGGACCCACATCCAGGGAAGGCATAGTTTTCAACAGGAGTTCGTCAGGGTTAGAAAAATTCAGAAATGGCTGCTTGCAAGGGTATTCCAAGAGAGCACCAAGAGACTAATAAAAGAATTGCTAAGCAGAAGTGAGGAACAGTTGGACTTTTAAAAGTATTTTAAACAGATTGGGTGTTCTTTGTAAATGTTCATCTTCTTGCATGTTTTTGCTGATTTTTTTTTCTTTTCCTTTTTCTTTCTTTCCTTCTTTCTTCTTTTTTTTTTTAAGCACACATATTCAGCAATGATGATAGCTTGATGAATGTTTGCTTCTTTTCTCCTGAGGCTTCTGGCATTGCTTTGTGAATATGCGGATGAAAGCACTTGACCACCACCAGGAAATCATTTTACTTGGAGAGGAACATATTAAGTAGGAGTACATAATTAGTTCCTTTTAAGCCCACACAGGACATTCCCTTTCTTGTCTCCTAAGACATTTTGCTGGGGAGCTAGATAGACCTCAGCTATGGGCAAAAGACTAGCAGGATCAAGGTAAAGTGACAATAGGAACTAGGAACGGTTATATCAAAGGTGGAATTGGAGGTCCAGTCTCAGCCAGAAAGGATAGAGAATTCAAAATAAAGTATGTCAAGACTTCCAGCCAGAGAAGTATAGAAGAAATAGTAAAAGAAAGGAGTCAAGCAAACTTTCCAAATCAGGCTGTCACTAATCAAGACTGTGCTGACAGGTTTGGTGAAGTGCTGGAGAAGACTTGACTCAGAATCCGGGATGAGTGGGTTCTTCTGCTTCTAAGCAGCTGTAGCTTGAGCAAAGGGGTGGGGTTGTAAAATACAGGAGCAGTAATAGAGAGGTCGGAGATTAGGGTACAGTTCCCCAGAGACTGAGGTTAAGATTCAGATGGTCAAGGACGACATCAGGAAGCTGTGGGTCTCAAATCTGTGTTTCCGGTCCTGTAAACTCAGCTACTCCAGGCAGCTGTTCTACCACCTGGAACATTCCTT